CCCCCCCTCCAGCCCAGCCCTAGCTGCCTCAAAAGGGTGATTCTTTGTTTGAGTCCAAAATATCCTCAAAGGGAAGTTTCAAGTTTTTCTCACGGGCTTCTGGTACMCAGGGTACTAGTTCTTATAAATGGGAATTGGGTCTAACGTTATTATCAATTTGATATTATGTAATGACTGATACGGATTCGTGCATCTGACCAAGCAGTTTGCGCGCCATTAGCTCGACAAGAGTCTCCTGTAGTTGAGTGATAGCTAGAGCATTCATGGGCCATGGTTTCACATTTTTTGAGTTCTCTTAAGCTCTTTTGCTGTGAACGCTGAATTCATTTTATAGTGAATCTTCCCCTATCAACTTTATCATAATGATCTTGTGAAGTCAGAACACAAGGAACTGAGATTCTCTCATGCAGCAAAACTTATCGAGAAATTATGCAAAGGCAATAAATTGCTACTATATATGTTCAATGAGCTTGGATTGTATGAAAAATAAAGATGTCAAGAAATAAAGCTTCGTACATACCACAGCAACTCTTGAAGCCATCCTTACTCGTCCGCTACGTTCCGATGATTTGCACTGTCACGGTACAGGAAGCCCAATACCGGCGTCCTTATTTGGTCCACAGGAAACCCAACCTCAACAACAACAAAAAAAACCAAACAAACAATGATATGTACGATAAGAAATAGAACATCCTTCTTCACCAATGTTTTTATGAATATTAACCCCAGAATTTTTTATCAAACTGGAAAATCCTATTATGTAAACTTCTAGTATAGCTCAAAACGTAATACAGGTAGAGCACAGGGAGACCAATTCAGATTWAAAAAAAGGCTGACCCATAAGATTTGGACATAATAGTGCCCCAAATCTTTCGGATAATCGGCCGAAAAATGAAATGATTTAAATGAAAAAAACACTACCAGCACTGGAAAGAGCACCTTTACTTTAGTAAACCTAAAAAGATTCATTAGTAGTATCGGCCGAGAAAACTAATGTTGAAAATTGACAAATTAACAGACGTTTGTAGACGTACAAATTTCTGTAAATTTGTCAATTTTCAACTTGTTGCTTTCTCGGCCGATATAAATATTTATCAGAGAAGTAGTTTTTTTTTACTTATCGCATTTTTTCTGTATCTATTATAAATATATTGGTTTAAGTTTTACGCCCTCAATTACTATAATAGGGCCACGGGTGTTTGGTTTTTCTATGGGTTGGGAGGGTAAGTAGAGATCAGAGCGTGGTTACCATGCAAAGTTGTTTCAGTGTCATGGTTTCATGGCGGCCGATCGTCTTCGCGGCATAAAATATTAACATTTACAAACAAAACTGAATCAAGGAAAGATCTAAAAACTTACTTATCAAGCTACCATATACCAAAATAAAAACATATTACTCTATTTAGGTTTAGAAATTGGAAATTCTCAAAGGAAATGGTAAGTAAGCTTACTTCATCTCAAAGAAATGGCGAAATTTTCGGAGGTAAAATCTATCCGATTTTTTGTATTATTTTCTAATTCAAATTGTYATAGCGTCCCTGCCGACTTTAGAAAAGCAGATTTTCATGTTTTATCTTAGACTTGAGGCTCTTAGCCTAGAAGAAGTTGATTAACCATTATCAGATGTAAATAAAAATGTTAAATGGCGTAAAGGTTTTAGGGCAGAGACCACAGTTTTCAACTGAAAAACTCTCAGCATGGACGGTCTATAGTTTGATCCCAATAGAATTTTTGTTTGTAAGTGATTAATAGAGTGTTTGTGCAGCATTTACTTCTGTCGATGCACATAAAGTAAAGACAGACCAAAGAAAATAAATAAATAAAAGGGTATTTAATTAATATGCAAACCGATTGCAAACCTATTTTCGTTGTCGAGAAGCATGCTCATTGTAATAACGATTGGTTTCATTTGTTTATTTATTTATTTATTTATAACTTTCACCCTAAAATAACTATTACAAAGTATGCTAAAAAGTTGGGAAAAGTAAAGAAAATGTTTGGGTGAGGAAAACACAACAGAGCTGGCCGGCTCCAAACAAAGTGTCTCTTATAAATTAATATAAATTAAAAATATCAATTGTCAATTAAAAATATCAATATTACTTGTCAATGCTACAAACCACCCTCCCCCCCCCCCCCCCAACAAAGCATGGTGCAGCATAATGGGGTCAAACTGAAAGCATGTAAAGGTGCCTCTTGCAGCTGCTATACATACAGCCCATTTATGACCCCAGAGCACAGCTCTAACCAAAATATATAATATCATGCCYAACCTCATCCAATATAAGTGTTAAAATTAATACAGTATACATCTCGTATGCTGAAATGAAAAATCTATTTGACAGCTAATCAGAGGCAAGGTGACAAATAATTGTATAATKACAGTAAATGTGTGTATTTTCAGAAACTATTCTGTTATATTATACCTCTTTCATTGAAGGGAAGATTAAAATTTCTATTTTAGGAATATATTGAGAAGTGTTTGATTAGCATGAAGGCATCTTGTATTATTCTCAGTAAATTCAATAGGCCTTTTGCAACAGTTGGTAACATGACCCTACTCCCATTAAAAAGAGAAGTTGCATCAAAATGAACATCAGAAATAAAAAGAGCACCTCCCTCAATATTAGTAAGAAGGCATAGTTTTAGCTCATAATGTTGACTATGGGAGAAATGACATTAAAAATATAAGGATTTGTATGGGGAAATGCAGTGTTGGATSGTAAGCTTTGCCAACCCCACACCCCCTGATTTATATTTGGCCTCTAATCATGACTGCGGACTGATTGGCTGTTATCAAAGCCCTGCTGAAGTAAATATTAAAGTATTTTTGTGTTTGTTTTTTAGGATATAGGGCTAAATGAGCATCACCAACAGAATGTTGTCAATTATTTACGCTTCGCAAAATTTAACCGAGGGCAAAGACTTCGTGGCATTGATGCTGCATTTGAAGATTTAAAAGACAGCAGGTAACAGCATTAGTAAATAAAATGATAAAGCTTATTCTCTTGCTTTGAAAGTTAAGTACTTTGTCTTGTAAAGGCATGGTACATAGTTCATGGTTATGCTCATTAATGACTAGCCTACTGTACCTGCAGAATTGTTATGGACCTCCATCAAGACATTTGAATGACATTCCATAGGCTCTTCAAAACTTTGTATTATCCCACTATGTCATGATGTATTAAACACTTTAAATGTCGTCCATAAGACTTTTGCACATGCTATTGGGAATAACTGTTACAGTGAATTCTTCCTCATAGTATGATTTTTGCACATGGTATTGAGAATAACTGTTACAGTGAATTCTACTGATAGTATGATTTTGCACATGGTATTGAGAATTCTACTGTTGTATAAGCTAGTTCACACTATCCAGAGTTTAAACTTCCTTTCAAAATTCACAGACTCGTTGAGGATACATATACTTTAGATGAAATAACAGAGATGCTTGATGGCCTGTGTGCTGTGGTAAGAGGAGAAGTGGAGACAGAGTTGATCAATACAGCACATACAAATGTCCTTCTTCTTAGACAAGTGTTCAGTCAAGCAGAAAAGTGGCACCTCAAGCTACAAGCTGATATTTCTGAACTAGAAAACAGGTAAGTTGGATGGGAGTTAAATACATTTTATTCTTTTCTTCTTATAATATTATCTTTCCCCCCATTTTCGCAAATAGCTGTTTTTGTAAATTTGCAAAAGAAAATAATATTGTAAAATAAAGAATGTGCATACAGTTATTTGAACAATGTATCCAATGTTTTAAATCTAATGGAATTTTAATAACGTACATTGAACCTATCAATAGATAGCTTATAAATGAAGAGCAAACCAGTCTGTGGCCATCCAAAACATTGGTGGTATGCATTGCATGAGAAAGATATGGTGGTCTATAGGGACGTTTCTTTGGACTCCTTGAAATTTTCTCATCATGAACCTCCACTGTTTAAGAGGTTATGTGTTTTTTTAAGTGTTTTCTTTTCTTTTTCTTTTTTGTTTTCAGGGAACTCATTGAAGAGATAGCTAAGTTTGAAGAAAGAGAATTCTCTGCTGTCTCACAAAAATCACAGGTAAGCTCAAAAAAGCAAGTTGAAGTGAGAAAGCAAGTGAATTAATGAATGAAAGAATGAATAAGTGAGTGAATGGGTGATTAGATAAATGACTTGGTGAGTTACAGTGAGGACACTTGAACCATGAACACTCCAAGTTTTTTCCAGCTTATTATTTCCTGAACTTTGTACTGTTTCAAATCCTCTAAAATGAAGCATTGAGTTAAAATCTACTGAGCGATTAAAATAACTCTTAATTTCTAATAATTCAATTCTAATAATCCAATAATTCTAAATTATTGATTGGCGCAAGTGATAATTTACAGTATGCATTTTACTGCCATTTTTCATAAATATGTGAACTCYGTAGCTGCAAGCTGCACTCTGAAATTCGGCTTTTTGCTGCCACCAGTCAAAAATATGAAATGTACCGCGTGACTGATTAGTTTTGATTGACGGCAGCGAAAAACCAAATTTTAAGTGTGTAGCTTGCAACTATAGAGTTCGCATGTTTATGCAAATAGAAGTAAAAAGGTGGCAATAAACTCAAAGTGTTCTYGGGTCGTGTCACCCTCACTGTAATGAATAAGTGAATTTTTTTTGTACAAAATGTATTTTTATTTTTCATAAAAAGCACAAAGCATATATTATTGAAATAATGCACTTAAATTTAATAAGACAGTGTTGATTTCTCTTATAGTCAAAACTGTCCAAGTTGTCTCAAGCTTCAAAGCTGGAGCCACTAAATGAAGGTGGGGCAGTACCTCTACTTCAAATGGTAAGTTTGACAATCGCAAAATCAGCTATTATATTCTAATGGACCTTTCATGCAGCAGCCATGTTGATAGGAACAGTAGATTTTTCCCAAGTAGTCTTGCATTAAGCATTTCAGGACAAGGCTAAGGAATTAGTTTTAAACAAAGTATGGCACAGTGTAATCCATAGATGTTTTTATTTTTATTTAAGTCAATAATATTTATACAGGAACATCCAGTTTAGCTTTGGTGTAATGTTTTCCTATTTTAAACCAGGTGTCATTCCATTTAAAGTCTCATTTTTTTCGTTAACGGTTATGCATGAGAAGACACATGAATATGAATACATCTCAAACGAATTATCTTATTCTAAAGAAAATGACATGTGGTCTGAAATGAAAAAAGCATTACAGCTAAAAGGTCTTTTCGATCTGCTGCTGAAAGCTTAAATGCAAGCCATGCCCTGACTTTGATCAGCCCAGATGTTTCAGTGTTCGATTTCTGAGTTAGCCATGCCCTGACTTTGATCAGCTCAGACATTGTTTCAGGGTTCGATCTGCCATTTAGCTGTGCCCTGACTTTGAATAGCCCAAGAGGTTGTTTCAGAGTATTGATAAAATTGGAAATTTCATACAAAAATTGAAGGCGCATTGATCTGTGTAACCCTATATCCCATTAAAATTAGTGCTATCATTAAATCTATCTGTTTGTCGCACCAGTCAGTGGGATAGTATTGGAATATGTTACTCTCGAAAAAAGCTTTCTTTACGATCAAAACGGTGCTTGAATGTTGCATGACCTGGCGTCTATAGTTAGTTACCAGGACAAGTAAATCTATCTAGTTGTCTTACCAGTCAGTGGGATAGTATTGGAATATGTTACTCTCGAAAAAAGCTTTCTTTACGATCAAAACGGTGCTTGAATGTTGGATGACCTGGCGTCTATAGTTAGTTACCATGACAACTAAATAGAATAAAATTCTTTGTGTAGTTCGTAAGTTTCGATAGCAACTGATAAAGTTGTTAACTGGATTCTTTTAGTTTTCTATCCATTTTTTATTAGCCAGTTAAATCAGAGGGTTTTGAGGTCTCTTACCACAAGAAAGTGATGTGGTTTTAATGGCTTTGTTCATTGTTCACATCTTTCGTTTCGTGTTCATCAAAACGTTTCTCGCACAGGTGCGTGTGGTGAGTCTCCAAACAAGCCCATAGCAACGCCGCGCAGGGTTTATAAGCGCCGCGGCCGCATGGTCTGTGACTGTTGAGTCAACGTTAGTTTATATGCTGTTTCATCATCCAGAAATGGTTCATATTTCCTAGCTATGGACGTATAGCATGGCCATGATATTACAACTATCAGAAAAAGATTTGTTAACTGAGCTTATACAGGATCAACAAAAGGTTTGATACACCTTCATCCATATCGCACTCGGTTTTGTTAGGTCTTGATTTGAGAGTTTTTCTCCGGATTCTCCGTTTCCTCCCTCCGTAAAAACTACCGCTAAATTTCAATTTAAGATCTGTGAGTTGCCCGTGTCCTGGCTTTCATCAGCCTAGAGTTTGTTTCAGGGTTGGATCTGCGAGTTACCCGTGACCTGGCTTTCATCAGCCTAGAGATTGTTTCAGGATTGGATCTGTGAGTTAGCCGTGCCCTGGCTTTCATCAGCCTAGAGTTTGTTTCAGGGTTGGATCTGAGAGTTAGCCGTGCCCTGGCTTTCATCAGCCCAGAGGTTATTTCAGGGTATCGGTAAATTTTTCTTTAAAGGTTTCATCCTTCGTAAAAATGCCTTCGAAAATTGTAATTAAGTTTTTTTTTTTAAAGCACAAGATTCTTTTTTCAATGTTGCTTGTATAGTTTAGGCTTGCAAAGGTCCTTTTTTAAAGGAGGTTAAAAACTTATTGATGTAAGAGTAAAAAGTAGTTCTAATTTTCGTGAAACGTTCTCGACAGAAATGCTTTGTAAAGCTGGAGCGTATTACACCACAATCACACAGTTAATTTAGAGTTCACACCAGTTACGAATGATGTTGATTTTCGAGGTGTAACAGGGCCTTAGCTGGCTTTTCTATGCACGAATTGAATAGATTGTTACTTATAGGTTGCATCGGGTCGAGAATTTTTTCTTTTCCCTTAAAGAGCTCATGTTACGGTCTTTAGGATTGAGGCGTAGATCAACAAGATCATCCAGAGCATTCCGCATTTACCACAGCATTTACCAAGCCTCCCAATTTAGTGTAAGACTGCTTGAACCAAGGCTTGGTACTGATTTAGCTTTGAACACTCATCCAACGATTTATTTAGCAAAGTCTCAAAAAGGCAATAACATTTTAGTAAGAGGCTGTTCTCATGCCAAGGTTGGGTAACCATATTATTGAGAAAAAAGACAACGACAACAACAACTGAACGACAACAACAACATCAACAAACAACAACAACAATACAAAAACAAAGATACAAGAAGACTTGCCCTTCATATAATTATACAAATAGCCTCTTGGTATCTGGATGGAGGGGAAGACGGGTTATTAAAATTATTATGATAAAATGAATAAGCAATTAAGTGATCCGTTGTGTCGTTCATTGCAGGAAATAAACCGTTTGAATGAAGACAACGCCAAACTTAAGAATCGCCTAAAAGACTTAGAATCGAAGGTTAGTAAAAGTTTTATCCAAATATCAGAAATATGATTTGGGTCTGTTTGGGATGTGCTCATTTATACAGTACGGCTGATCGATTTTGATGTTGGCTCAGAGCTCCTCTGATGCTGGCTTAGCTGTAGGGGTGAAGAAATTACACTAAATAGCGCCATTTCGCTACTACCTGACTACCGAAATGCTTCCCCTTTTTTACTATCCAAAGTTACATTGCTTCGTGCAAGCAACGGTAATGCTAATAGAATAACCAGAGAAAATGCTCAAGAGATTCTGGCAGTCGTAGTAAATGACGCGCTGTCATACAAAAACTCGTAGCTCCGTCGTATATCGTGAACATTTAAGATAATGTGATGCTACTCTTGGGAATTGATTCTTTCTGGTGTAAATATTTTAACATATTCGTAAGAAAAGCTGAAAATGGGTCTATTCGGATGTGCACACTGTTAAAGATGGGTGTGGGATGGGTAAAGTGGCGGAAAGGATAGATGTGGGATATGGAGTGCACAGAACGGGTTTAGTGGTCTACATTGACGTGTGTTATCCGATTATCTAAAGGCAACTGGTGCTTTCGACGAACAAAGAAAACTCAAGGACAGCCTGGAGCATACTCAAGCCGAATTGAAGGCCAGGTCTAATGCTAAAGTAAGTTGACCCTTGAGACAACAAACACCAATATTCGTTGTTATCTTTACCGCTTGAAACCCTGCGTTCTCTGACTGAACCGTTGGAGAAACGTGAAATAGCCCACTTCCGAGATGTTCATCGCGTGTCAAGCCCAAAGGTTTCAATGTGAGGCTTCGTGCGTAATGCTCAGTGATTCGTGACAGGAGAATGCCAATATTTACGTCAATACGGCACGGGTGTTTAAGATTTTTTTTTTGCACAATCGAAGTTAACACTAAGTAACTCAGTAAGAACATAAAACTAAAATGTAATGTCACGTAATGTCACATTTGTGGGACAAAGTAATTGATTGGTTTCTGTATACTTTTGTATTATCTTGCAGAAGTATGGAAGTGATGTGTCCGAACTGGAAGACCAGATGGCTAAAGTCAAGATGGATCTTAAGAAGGTAGCTCCTGAACATCGTTTATTTTAAATCGTTTTTTCCTCATTTACCAACGTCGGAGATGCATCGCCAGACCTCTGGACCCGGTTGTAAGAAGGGTCTATAGCGCTATCCGACGGATAATCTTATCCAGTGGATAAATTTACTGGATAACAGCATCGACTTATCCACTGGGTAAGTATTTATCCGTCGAATAGCGCTATCCACTTTTCGCACAACCGGGCCCTGGTCTTGTACCAAAGTCCTAAGACCGAGAAGCACTGGAACGAGAGAGTTTCTGTACTTGGGTCTTGATGTATAAGACATCATATTGACGTCAGCAACAGCACCATTACTTACTGTCAATACCCATGGTAGTTATTATTATTATTTTTTTAAATTCAGTCGAGAGATGCTGGATCAAACAAGGTTGCATCTCTGGAGGACGATATCACGCAAGCCAAGGTAAGAAACACAGACAGACAGACAGACAGACAGAAAAAAARGCAACAGGTGAAACAGTAGACCGATCCTGGCTATGCTCGAGTGCCAGCCAAACATTGGGTAGTTTTCCCAATGGAATACAACATGTCCGACCAATAAACTCAAATTCATAAGATTTTTTACTACTTTCGAATTCTTTCTTGATGTACCTTTATAGAATGCATCGATTCTAAGACAGACATTAACAATTTTCAGCAATCGGTGGCTGTTCCATGCTGTATATCAAAAACACATTTTAGCTTGTCCGACGAAGCGACAGTACTAACTAGGGAGGTAGAATAATGAATGCGGCGGGATCGGTGTATTGCAAGGAAATGTTTTCTCGTGTCTCATAATCAGGTTAATTGTTGAATGTTTTTCAGCATGATATTTTGAGGCTTCAAGCTGAACTTGAGCAAGCACAACAGGTATCATTCTCTTTTGTTTTTCTTAATTTAGGAGAGGTGCACTATGCATGATGGTTCACCCTTTGCTTAAAAACTCGAACACTAATGATGGAGTAAAGATATCAGCTTATCCAGGGGGGGGGGGGTTGCGTTCCCCCTGCACCCCTTCCCTAGATCCGCCCCTGTCTTGGAGACTGCATAAGTATTACTAGCAGACTGTTTGCAGTTGTCCCTTAGCTTTTACTAATATTTGTTCATGAAGGAGGTCAAATTCAGAATGATTATTCGTTCTACATTGTACAGGAGCTTACCAAGAAATTTAACGAGACATCCCAATACAAGAACATGAAGCAGATGTTGACTTCAAAGAACGATCAGATTAAAGAACTCAGAAATCGTTTACGCAAGTGAGTACATGACCAGCTTAATTTCTATGGAAGAATTGAGGGGTGGGTAATCCAGTCTTTTTCCCCTATTTCCGGGTGAACTGCCCATAAAACCGCTAAAATATAGGCAAAAATGTTCTCGATGACTAACTTTCAACTGAAACAATTAGAACTTTGGGCAACAAATTCTGTCATGAAAAAAATCTAAATTGATTTGGTAGGATGATTTTAAAACGGTGATAATTAACCCTCAGGGTGGACGGCTTTTTACAACCAACTTGATGAGGCAGCCGCCAATAAATTGAATTAGAATTTAGAATTTGATTTTTCCGGAGGGAGTAAAAACCGAAGAAAAACACTTGAAAAAACTTCTATAGTAAGTTTAACTCTTTTCCACTTTTAGATACGAGCCCGAAGCTTGAAATAAAAAGTGTCAAGCATATGATGCGAACGAGCCCACAGTGTAGCTTATGGTTTGGCCAGTTGCTTTGGTTGGTTTTAGATACTGTATATAGTTATTCAATGACAGAGTAGTTTATTGTTCCACTGTCAAGATTCCTTACGATTAATTTATGTTCAGAATCATTTTAATAAAACTTGGGCTTCTTATGCTGCAAATTCAGACTCTAATTGTAAATCGTTCTAAAATCTTACTTGTTTTCGTAAGTGGTAGCTATTTTGTACTGATGTGGGTAAAACCTCTGCACAAAGTACAGCTGGTAAAGGTATTAATCTGCCAATGAAGATTCGCACTCATACAATATAGGAATTTAGACCGGTTTTCATATCAATTGGAAATGATAATGAAAATGAGTAGCCTTACAATAGCTGCTATTGCATGTACTGAGATCTGGAATAGGCCCTTTGCAGTTAACGGTCACGTGTCTGTACTGGTGAGCAAAATTTATTTATTTGAAATTGGTGATTCTTTTTAGCTACTTGTAAAGAACTGAATGAAAACATGTGTATCCAGTGTGTTACGAAATGCAGTTTTATTATGATCTCTCGAAACAGGTTGTAGAAAGTTTGTTTGCTCACCAGTATATTTCACCCATGGAAATCAAGATGTTCATTCATTTGCTCTCAGTGAATTAATCAGCTCGTGATTACTGAACTGCAAAGGGCCTATTATTGACCAACAAACGCAATCGTACAATGTATACGTATAAGCCAGTACCAATACTCTACGGCATGCCGACCGTGTACGTGCCATAAGTCAGTACTGTGCGTTTCCCACTCGTACCAAAACCGTCATACGGCATGTCGTACCGCGTACGTGTTGTAAATCAGTACTGTACGTTTCCCACTCATACCAAAACCGTCATACGGCATGACGTACCGTGTACGTGTTGTAAGTCAGTACTGTGCGTTTCCCACTCGTACCAAAACCGTTATACGGCATGAC